TTAAAAATTCAAAATGAATGCAGCATATCAATCTATGAAATGTAGTTCAATAACTCATTCTGTACATATTACTTTTACAATGATTTTCCATTGTTATTTCAAATTGATAAAATATACTCATTAAATACTTCCTTCAGACATAGAAGCATTGCTTGGTGTATAATTGTTAAAATTAATATCAAATTAATGTATTTTAATATTAATGTATTTTGTCAGCTTTGTCATCTTTATAAGTACACTTTTTCTTTAGTAAATATGTACGAAAATAGTATAATGATAAAATGTCTGATTCACGAATAATACTGTCATTTAAAATATAATGGAATAGTAGATGGTCTGTAGCTTTATTCAGATAATCATTTTCATATTTTCTTTTAGAAAGTAGCTATCTAAGACTTCTGAACTTGCTGAAATTTTGTTTATGGATTTTGGTGTTTTTTGTAATAGAAAGGAAAAGCATGCAAATTTAAGCCTTTCTTCTGTATCACTCAGTTATTTTATTGCAAGAAGGCAGGTTAATGACTGCAAACAGTTTTACAACCCAACACGGATTCCCTACTATTACTCAAAATACAAAATTCAGAATTAACATTATTTTAAAATCTACTGGTTGAGGGAAAAAGTGTAGATTTTTACTCTGTGTTTAGATTTTCATGACACCATACCAAATTCAGATCATTGGAGCCAGATATATTGGGCCTGAACTCGTAAATGCTGAATAATTTAATATACTAAGCTAAAAAGCTGATTAAATGAAGTTGAGAAAACACAATAAAATATGAAACAAACAAACATCTGCATTCTAACTTCAAAAGTTTCAACTAACAATATGTCTCTCAAAATTTCAAGTCTACCTGTGCCAAAGGCCTCAATGAGTCTTTGTCTATAATCCAATTTAGTTTCTCCAAAGGGAGAAATTACCATTAATCTTTAATTTTCCTTCCTGTGCAATTTAAAATAGAAAATGTTAAAGTTTTCTTTATGAAGAAAATGTTCATGTTAATCCACATTCTCAATGCCTTTGGATTGAAAAAAGTATAAAACAAGGATCACAAAGTTAGTTATGAAAGTGGCTTATGTAATTCAGACCTTTTTTTTTTTCCTGAATCAAATATATTTATTTACACTATATGCAGTATTAAATACATTTTCAACTTTTTAAATTTTATGCTAACATTATATAATTATAAAATCATTACTACTTATATATAGGTATTGTATTAGAAAAAGTAGCACAAGAAATTTTAGAATGAAACATATGAAATTGCTATGTTTACCAAAGAAAAATGTTCAAATAGCTGCAATTGAGACATATGTATTATTTAACATAACACAAAAAATTCTACCAAGTATTACTTCTTTCTAACTTAAAAAAATATTTTCACCAAGGTGATTCCTCATTTGTTAAAGATAATATTTTTGGATTCTTAGTCCTAAATTCTCACCTTACATTAAATATTGAATCCACACAAAAAAGCCTGTGACAGGGAAGTTATCAGCTCCATTTTACAGATGAGAAGTCTGACACTTAGATCCTTCATAATGTGCCCACGGTCACACACAAAAGAGGAGAGGGAGGGGTCAGAATCTAGTCAGTCTTGCTGTAAGACCTGCTTTCTCATCTACCACAAAAAAGACAGGTCAGGTAGTATTATGGTCAGTTTTACTATAATGCTTGTTTTGAAAATGTGAATTTGTTTTAGTATAATCAATAGATTAGGCAACAATTTGAGCACACCGAAAATTTCATTTGTTTATACATGATTTCGACAGAACAACTCTAGATGAGTGCAGAACACTGAGTCTAGCTGAAGCAAGCTAGGCAGGTATACATAAACCACACATACCTCTAACTTCTATCAGATACCATCCAATTTCAAATAACACTCCTTCCTCCACCACTTCACAATAACTTAAAAGTTGAAACCCTTCCAACAACAACCACAAGCAAACCCTAAATCATTTTCAAGGTAAAGTGCCATATGTGTTATGGCTTATATGTATTTAACTATTTAAGTATAAAACTGTGCTTTAATTTTTATGATCTTATGTCTCTATCTTTTTTCTTTATTTCTTACTGGTGACATTTTTGAATGTTGTGTCCCTAACCCCATTTCCCCATAAACCCTGTGATTTTTACTGGTCAATTTTTATCATGCAGTGATTTTTAAGAACACATATGCCCTATTATAACAGAAGTGACTCTATACTATTTCTTTCTTTTTTTATTTTTTAGGGACAGGGTCTTGCTCTGTCATTCAGGCTGGAGTGCGGCAATGGTATGTTAGTAACTGAGGGTAACCTCAAACTCGTGGGCTTAAGGCATACTCCTACTTCAGTCCCTGGAGTAGCCGGGACTATAGGCACATGCTCTATGCTTGCCTAACTTTTAAATTATTTGTATAAATGGGGTCTTGTTATGTTGACCAGGCTGCTCTCGAATTCCAGGCTTCAAGTGATCCTCCAGCCTCTGCCTCTCAAGGTGCTGGGATTATAGGCATACTCCCCCATGCCAGAGACAGCATCCTATTTCATAGACAGAGGGATAAAGGGGTAGTTGTTTTATTTTACTTATCTGTTAAACATTAAAGAAAGCCTTAAAACTGATTCTTGTAATTCCAAATACAGGATTGTTTATATCACATCCTGCTGGTATTTATACCTAAGTAGTAATAGAGCTAAATGAACATCATTATGTCAGAGTTATTGCATTCTTTTAAAGTTACGCTTACAGCACCCTCTAGTACCTTCTTAAATTGTCTATTTGTTAGTATATTTATCTTGTTAAATTCTAGAAGCATATACTTCCTAACCAGGGCTGGTAAACATAAAATATTTATAAACATTAATGTACCAGGGTTTTCAGAATAACCCCAAATTCCCATTTGAATGAAACTGTTAATATATTTCATTTGTTTTAATGTAGATAATCACTGGCTTTAAAAATCAGGTATCAAATATTTGATCGGTATCTTGAGAAGATGGCATATGTAATAAAGAGTATAGCTCCATTTTTTGATGTTTGGTTGTTAATGGCTTTCAATCCCTATATCTTCCTAGTTCTGGGAAAGCCAGCAAGAAAGCTCAGGAGAGCCCCTCATTTGGAACAAATGGGGAGTTGAAACAATAAAAGCCCCAGTCCACATATGGTAACCTTCATCCCAATACCACTTTCTATCAACAATAGAAGTCAAAACCAATCTCCTCTTTGGCTGGCCATTTTCTGACCTGCGTTGGAGCTTCCCCTTGTCTTTTCAGAAAGTCTCATTATGTGAGTGGTAAATCTGTTCATACTACCATTGCATTGGTGGCATCATCAGCCTCAACCTCCAAGCAAGTTTGATGTGGAGGGACCCCACCCCAACTCGGTAGGGTGACCACAAAAGCATAAAACCATTCTAACACTACTCTAACATTGGACTTCCTTCTAGTCAAACAAAATTATGTCTTATCTCTTTCAAATGCTTTTCAAAACCATTTCACTGCCAATTACAGAGGCATGGCCTGAAGATCATATGCTGTATTTTGGTACAATGGCGAGAAGGGAGACTTTCATCAGATATGGGAAGGAAATTTACGGAAGAAAGAAAAACTGTCAATGGATGGCAAAATCCTACCCTAAGCTAATTTATGTATCTTAGAAAATAAAATAACCTAATACATGTAAATTACTTATTATATATCACAGCTCCTATGAAGTAAAGGTTTAAATTAGGACATTGAGAAAATATATCTTCAATTGGTTTTTCTGTCTGCTAGGAAATGATAACCCATAAATCAAAGAAGAAATCAGATCCCTCACAGTCACTCTAAATTTATTGGCATGTTAAACTGACTAAAGGAAATACCCATGTGTGAATGTTTATGTGTGACTAGTCAGAGAGGAGCTTTCTTCAAAGGAGAATACATGGTACAATGGTACACTGTGTATATCTAGAGTTACATGAAAATTCTGATTCACAGAGGACATCTGCATTTCAAAAAGAGTGAAAGGAGGGAAATAACGTAAGTCTCGTGGGAACTTAGGATGAGCTAATTGAAAATAGAGGATCAGTTTAGAAACATGGGGAAGTGCACATCAAAAAGTAGCTTACAGTGTGGGCAGGAGAACTGTGCAGTCACCATCAGCAGAAAGTCCACTGAGGCACGTGTCAGATTGTGGGCAAGAAATTACCGAGAATCTAAACGAATACATGGAAACTTGAATCCCCCCAATAAAAAAGGACAGCCTATATAAATTAATTTCAAATTATATAAATTACATTGAATTACAAATTTCTATATAATTTAAATTAATACATGAAAACATATACCCACAGAATAATAAAAGATAACCCTGTTAGAAGTTAAGTCTGGTTTACTGATTATATATATATATATATATATATATATATATATATGGACACACACTCACACACACACACATATATATATACTGATATATATATGTGTATATAATATATGTATGTATAGATAGCATATACATACATATATTATATACATATATGAAAGAAAAATTTAAGAAAGTGAAACAATAAAGCTGCCACATATTAACATTCAATTGCTTTAAGATAACTGATTATGTCAAGCCTGTGCACCTAACTTACATTTAATTTATTCAATCAGAGATCATCCCAATGCAGCATAAATGGTGATTCATTTAAAATGATAAAATGTGAGTTAAATTGAGATTTTCATGTTGAAGGCTATGAGAAGGAAGAGAGTGGAGAAAGCTGGCAACAAGAAGATACGACAAGTGACAACATTTCTGATAGTACTACTTTGGAAATGAAGTTATAAATGTCAGCTACTAGATTCAAGTATAAAAAATCATGACAAAAGTCTTCTGGATAATCAAAGCTGGAAAATGAATGTTACTAAGACTAGTTATCACTTGTTTTAAAAATAAATTTTCATAGACCGTGTCTCAGACTGTTTCCGGTGCTATAACAAAATACCATAGACTGAGTAATTTATAAATAATAAAATATATTTCTCACAGTTTGGATGCTGGAAAGCCCACCATCAAGGCACCAACAGATTCTGCATGTGGTGTGTACAAGTGTGACATGCGTCCAAGATGGTGCTTTGTTGCTGTGACCTCCGGGGGGTAAATGACATGTGCTCATGAGCAGTAGTGATGGAAGAGCAGAAGGATCAAAATTTCTTTCTGGAATCCTTTTATAAGGACACTAATCCCACCATGAGGGCTGAGCTTTCATAACCTAATTACATCTCAAAGAACCCACTTGAAATATTGTCACCTTGAGGATAAGATTCAACATATGGGCCGGGCGCGGTGGCTCAAGCCTGTAATCCCAGCACTTTGGGAGGCCGAGGCGGGTGAATCACGAGGTCAACAGATCGAGACCATCCTGGTCAACATGGTGAAACCCCGTCTCTACTAAAAATTACAAAAAATTAGCTGGGCACGGTGGTGCGTGCCTGTAATCCCAGCTACTCAGGAGGCTGAGGCAGGAGAATTGCCTGAACCCAGGGGGCGGAGGTTGCGGTGAGCCGAGATTGCGCCATTGCACTCCAGCCTGGGTAACAAGAGCGAAACTCCGTCTCAAAAAAAAAAAAAAAAAAAAGATTCAACATATGAATTTTAGAATGACACAAACAGACAAACCACAGCAGGTGGCTTCTTAGAAATACATTTTAGATTTGTTCATTATTTTTGAGAACTGAATTCCAACTGAATTTAATAAAATACGGTTCAATACACTTATGTCTAAATCCTTGGCCCATACGTAAGGCTATTAATCACTATCATTATGCAGCAGGCATGCTGCAAGTATTAATACCCTTGTTTTGGAAATGGGTAAGTAAAGACAAAGCCCTACTTGACCATTTTGGAAACACTCTCTAGGACTTAACATTTGAATAGAACATCAGGATGCTTGTTAACGTCTGGTGCCAGTACTATGTTGAATTTGATTCCTTTAGAATGGTATGACTTGGCAGCTGTCATGATGTCTGAGGGTGAGGTGTATGGAAGTAACATTGACACCTCTGAATAGTTTTCAACACTCCTATCCCAAGAAAACCTGCATGTTAGAAAGATAGCACTATGCATTTCAAAGGTTAATGTATTTGATAAAATCTCTTCAGGCCATAACGGAGAAAAAAGTTACAGCATTTAAAATAAAGAAAGAACAGACATAAACTATGTTCAGCTTTTGAGATCACCTAAATGTGAGCTACTTTTAACACAAATCGAATACTACAAATCACCCCTTCAAATTTTTCCCTCAGAGTTGCCCTTTTCTGAAATTCATTCCTTTACAATTGATAAATATTTCTCACAACAATACTTTTTTCACTTTGTTTCATTTCAGAGTAAATTATTCAGAAAGATGCATGTTTTATCTTTTGAAAGATACTTGAACCAGACATAAGCTTCCGTTGGGCCTGGAAAAGCAAAAATGAATATGATGAATGGCATAATTTTACCCTTGTTCATTTTTTATACCAAGAATAATTTATTCTTTGTTTTACAAAGTGGAAAAATCATTTTAGTGGCCCCCCTTTTAAAAAATCAAAATATAAGGAATAAGTATTTAACCAATTGGTTGATATTATAATTTTTAAAAGCCTTCTCTTTTCATATTTTGCTTTTTATTTTAAGCAAATTTGACTCCTTTCTTTGTATGGAGAGATATTTGTTAGAGGGGGACTCATACCTAGATGACTTACTTGATATTTCCATGTGATTGTCTCTAAATCACCTCTCTATGGAAAAATTGTAAAATACTTTAAAATGGCTGAAAAACATTATTGGATATTTTCAATGGAAAATTAAATGTCATCTAACACACCTATCTGATTCTTTGTTTTGATCTCCACACTTTTCAGAATCTCTGAGGCTTATGAATTAGTGAGATGTGGATGAATGATAGCTAAGCAAATTATTATTGTTCCTAGACATGCAAATGAATTTTGCCTCAAGTACAATTGACTTTCTTTCTCCCCGTAGGATGCAGATGCTTTGCATCTTCTAAGCAACTTCATTTCAACATTCCTAAATTCACTATATATGGCTGCTCTTTGGGATGCTCCTTTGAACTAGGTCCCTTCATTAATTAGTATGTATTAAATAGACTCTTTGGTATGTGTTTATTTCACATTTATATGAGTTGTGATTTTTTTTACCTTTAAAAAATATTATTTAACACTACATATTTAGATTATGTCTGGATCTTGTCCTCTTCTAGTCCTCAATATCTCAGAAGTACTATCATTCATAATTTTATTAACATATGTATACAGAAAAATTAGGGTCATCTTCAGCTTCTTTCCCTTCTATCCTCTCTTCAGTTCATATCAAATCTATTCCAAAGATTTTTCTTAACTGGATTTCTATTTAAATACATTAACTCCTAATGGATAGTGTGTCTAGGCTTTTGGCAGTGCTTAACATTTTTATCTTCTTTGAAAAATTTTAAAATATCTTTCAAGGAGGAGTATTTCAAATAGACATCTTCATATTCAATCAATTTTCTGGCTCTGTATATTTTACTTTCTAAATATCTCTTCAAATTTTCTGCTTTATTCTTTCTATCGCCACAATTATCCCCAGGTGCAGTATGGAGAAAATGCTGGAGTTGAGCCCTACTGAATGGAAGACTCAATTAAAAGACGAAAAGAAATAATTTTTATATTTAGAGAAGATTGGCATGGCATGATTTGATATAGATTGCCATGATGTAAGTTTATGCATGCGGCAACACTGCTCACTACTCATTTTAATGCCTTGTATTTGTACAGAAATACTTGTAGGACAAGAGAAAAGAAAGCCAGTAGATAATTTAGCACTTGCTGAAAGAGAATAATTTACTAATCCATCATTTCACAGGGCTCATGGAGTAACAGAACAAAAGCCAAATTTTGGCTGAGTGCACCTAGCGTCACTGTATACTGCAAAAAAAAAAAAAAAAAAAAAAAAAAAAAAAAAAATCATTTATTTGATTACTTTGGCAGAAGCCAGCCCAAATAGCATGCAGAAAACAGCAAATTGCTGTCTACATTTGGCTGTATCCTAAAGAGTAACCGAGTGCAGTATCTTCTGAGAAGCACAAATAAAGACGCATAGGGTAGTTACACTATTGCTTAAAACGTGCATGAAACTGTATGGCGTATCTTTTAAAAATGGGAAAAATCATTTTCAAAAGATTGAATTAATTTTGTTTTGTTGTTTTGAGACAGAGTCTCACTCTGTCACCCAGGCAGGTGTGATCAGGTAAGAGCATGTCTCACTGTAGCCTTGACCTAACTGGTTCAAGCAATCCTCCCACCTCAGCCTTCAAAGCAGATGTGTCACCACACCTGGCTAACATTTTAAAATATATTTGTGGAGACGAGGTCTCCCTGTGTTGCCCCAACTGGTCTTGAGTTCTTGGGCTCAAGCAATCCTCACACCTCAGGCCCCAAAAATTCTGAGATTAAAATTGTGAACCACAGTTCCAGGCCAAATTTGTTCTCAATATCAATCCACATTTTAATTACTCAGTATATTGTTCAAAACTAGTTGTCACTAAATCTCTGCTACTAAAGCGTCAGAATATTCAGCAGCAAATACATCAGAATTTTCAAGCGATATTTATAATCTACTGAAAGTGAGATGAAGGAAGAAAGAATGGAAACTGAGATGTTACACATTGATAACTTGTCATATATTTGACTGTCCGTTTTGGTTAATGTATGTGGGCATAAAGACATTACTCCTTGGTATTCTTTTAAAATAACTTTAAGAAATGTGTCTATGAGGGGTTTTGTTTTTGTTTTGTATTTACTTGTTTGTTTTGGGAGAAACAAACAAACAATTCCTCCCTTACATAAATTTAGAAAGAGTTGAGAGGTTCCTAAACTGGCCAAATTTGTAAATTGCACAGTAAAATCAGTAAATGTTATCAGAAGGCAGATACCAACCCCATAGGGTGGAGGGAGTTTAACGAATCAAGAGAGTGCCATGAAATTTTTTTTTTTTTTTCATAGACATGCACTGGATTTTACACTTTCATGGATGAGGTAGCTCATGGTTATGGTGAATATTTTTTTCCCAATCATTCTCTCCATGTTTTGTCTCTCTCGCCTTCTCTCTCTCTCTTCTTCTTTTTTTTTTTTTTGAATAAGTAATCTAGCAAAAGTTTTACATAGAGAAGAATTGCATGATTACAGTTTTCTTGGCTGAATGAGAATGGTAAGGTAGCAAATTAACAGCTTTTGACACTTTCATTGCAGTAAGCATTTTAAGGCAGGGCTATCACTTATGAGTGTACTAGTTTTTCCTTTCACAAAAGTGTCCAAGCAGGTGGATGAGTGGCAATTAAACTCCAGTCCATGTTGTGCTTGCAAAGACAAACATCTTGGTGAATAATTCCAACTGAGCAATGCATAATTTTTTCTTTAATTCGCACGTCTACCAGTGGCCATTTACGGTTTAGAGCAATGCTTTAACAAAAAATTTTCAGGTTGTAAAAAATAGTAGGTTTAGATTCAATTAAGCTGATGTCAATTAAATTTTAGCATGGTACAGATTTTTAACTTTCTATAAAATCTGTAATGCTTTAAATCCTGCTTTCAGTTGTACATTGTTTATTTATACTTAGTAGTTAATAAATAGTTGATAATCACGTTTAATTTCGGTCAAAAATTACATAGAAAACCATAAACAGCTGCACTCTCCTTTTACAATGTCTAATTCAAAATCCAAATCTATGCTAAGATATCACAAACTATGAAATATCATAAGCTCTAAAAATTATTTTCTTTGCTTGAAAAACCTAATAATTTCAAGTCTTTGAAATTAGTATATAAATTTCAACATTTTGTTTATAACAATGCAAAGGAGCAAAAAATATTGCAAAATATTACAAAATTAAAAACATTTTGTGTGAATTTATGCATTGACTGGTTAAGTAGACTGTTTCTAGGCAAGCTTAGAATTAGAGGTTTTTCACAGGATAAATTTTAACAATTTTATCTTCTCGAGGTTGCAGTTTGTTGAAGCAAACACATTAAGTAGCACAAATTTTCTTTTCTCCTGTTGACTATGCTTTCTTACACTGGAATTTTGAATATAAACCTTATATCCCTACAGTTCACATACAGTAA